TTGGCTCCCAAACATCATCAGCACACATTGGGCAAACTCCAATAATCTGCTTGCAGGCAAGGAGTCCTCCTTGGGAAACTGCAGCTTCAACAGTTAACCTCAAATGCAAAAGGACATTAGAGCCAATCTGAAAATGAGGAGTTCAGGAGCCCTTGCTATTAGCCCAGTTCCACCCACAAGAGGAGCTCGCAAGCCCAGATTTTCTGTCCTATTCAACATCAAGGGACTGTGCCGATAGGGAATGAAGCTGACCTGGGGAACACCAACCATCCCAGGCATGGACCTTGTTCTTGCTTGAATCCTGGGACCCAAAGCAGCCCTGAAGGGCTTCTGCAAGTACGCATGGCATTCAAACTAGGACTTGCAAAGATCTGACAGCTTTTCAGAGTAAAAAAGTGTTTTTTCAGCCATGCAGTCACCTCCTGTGTTCCTGAAAGCTCACCTTTGAACAGAAAAGGAAGAAAAAAAGAACAGGAAGTACCTCCTAGTCAATCAATCCCTGCAGCAAACATCCTGACTGCAAATGGTTAACAGACCACCCCACACACACTCACAGGGCTGTACCTGGACTGCTTTTTCGGAGGTGGTGGTGGTGGTGGTGCAAACTCCATGCCATTGCTCTTGTCTTTAGGGAAATCAAAGGAGAAAGACGATGATTTGCTGATCCCAGTCCGGCTCTCCAGCATTGGGCCATCATCCACAGGGTCAGCACCAGCTCTTCCATTCTCATCTCCTGCTGCCCATGGGTGGGTTAAGAGCTCCTGCTCCTCCTCCTGCTCTTCCTCCTCCTCCTCCTCCTCTATCCTGCACTGCTTGGTCCACGTTGGGGTGTAGTATTTCTGCCTCCTGTCATAGGACAAGCCTGCCAGGCCTCTGCTGGACTCCTCTGCAGAGACCCCATTGACATGAGTACATGGAGAAGGGGATGCCCCAAAGGCACCTGCATCCATACAGCTCCTTGGCAGCAGCTGAACCCCAGCTCCATCGTGACTGTTCTCATCACCAAACCTTGCCCCATGGGAGCTTACTAGGGGCACACGGCTCCCCTCGCTGCCCAGTTGGCTGTTCTTGGACATCTTTGGGGGAATGGCTGGACTCTCAGTAACTGAGGTCTTGGCAGGAGCTGCCAGATGAAATCTTGGGCTGTTGTCACTTCCAGATGCTTGGAAAATCTCTCCAGGCTCAATGGCAGGTGATGAAGTCCCAAAATCATGGTGTGAAGTGGGGCTGATACATGGCCACTGAACTCCTACCGCCGAGTCAGGGCTGCTGAGGAATATCGTCTTGTGATCATCCTCAGTGTGTGCGGTCATGATAGTTATCTTCGCCGCCACCTGCCCGGTGGAGTCCTGGTATTCCTTCTCACCGCCCAAAGCCCAGCTGCCATCCCTCCACGTCCCATCACCTTGCTCCTTCCCAGTGCCATGGGCCAGCTTCTCTGCTTTTACTTGTCCGCCGCCAGCCTTCAGCTGCACCTTCTTTCTCTTGGTGCTCTCGGCGTAGATGGGATCGCCACGGGCTGGCGAGGCAAGGCGAGGGCACTGCGGTTCCACCAGAGCCTGCTGAGGAGGGCTTGAACCTTCAGGCCGGGGTCCTCCGGTGACAGAAGGCTCCCCAGGGAGAGGCGAGTCCTCATCCTCCCGGGATAAAGCAAAGGCAGCCACCTTGCTGCAGCCTGTGCTCTTCTCTGAACACAGGGCATAGGGGGGAGGTTCACCTTGGTCTTTCGTGATGCAGAAGGCCACATTCACAGCTCTGCGCTCCTCTTCACCGAATTTCACCACCCTGCCACTTGGCCTGCATCCCGCTGCCTCCATCCACAGGGAGTGGGGCTCTCCTTCTCGCACCGGGCACCCTTCCCCTCCGCGCAACGCAGGTGCTCTCGGCGGCTGTCCGTGATCGAACAGTACTCTCCCCCTTCACTTTCGAAACTGGAGGAGAGGTGACCGCAGTCGCCCTCCGAGGGGAGCGCTGCTCCTTCTCTGGCTTGGGAAGAAGGGTTTCTGCTGGAGCTGGCGGTGCTTCTGTCCCCCAAGACAGATGGATTAGGGCAGGGGGCCCGGTGTGGCAAGGCAAACTTGTCTTTGGCCCTGTCTTCATGCTTGCCCACCTCACCCACAAGCACCAGGCTGTGGATGGAGATGTTTTTCTCCGCTCGGCTCTCCAGGCTGTGCAAGCCCACCATGGAGTAGCTAGGAGGACAGCAAGACAAGCAGTCGCTCGGTGAGTTGTGAAGGAAAGGCTTTCTCATGCCACCGTTGCCAAAATTGTCGAGGCAGAGCCGCTGCGCGTCTCCTGATTTCAGAAGGAGGGGTTTGCCAGAAACCATGCCCCAGCTGACCTGCACGGGCCAAAGAGACAAGTGCGCTGTCAGGGAGTGCATAGCAAAATGAGAGAGAAATATTTATTAAAAAAAAATAAAGAAAAAGAAAAGATAAAAAACACAGCTCCACAGAAAAGTCCTCTTCTGTGGAGTCTGTTTTGCTCTGTGCTCACCCCACCAATAACTACCGCAAACCTTTTCTACTTAAATTACACTAGTCCTATTTCCTGGCCCATTTGCAATCCTTGCATTACCAACAATAGCAATGCGCCCGAAATAAGACATCCTCCTTTCTCTTCCTGTTCGTTCGCTGACAGAAACGTGGCCAACCTGTCATCCTGCCTGCGAGAATCACGGTGCAATTAACAATTCAGAGAGAGAAGGAATACTTGCACCTCCCTCCCTCTGCTCATTTTCATTTCATTTCACACTGCTGCTCTGGAGCCGCAGCAGTTTGCAGGCAGACAGCGGTGCTACACCCTGAGGGTATTATGGCTCTGGCAAAGGTTGGGAGCCCAAGGAGCTGGGCTAGGATGGTAAGGCACTTTCTTACTCCCCCATGAAAACTGACTGCAACTAGACAGGACTTCTTTTCAGTGTATCTTCCCAGGAAAATAACTTTAACCTGCATTCTCATCTAATATCCGGAAGTTCCTAAACAATGTATTTTTAAGCTCCTTTGCACATGCCTCGTGAGCAGCAGCTCATTCAGCTTCAGCCAAAAATACTCTGAGAAGCCAATAAGTGGCTTAAAAACCTAAGTCAAGACCAGAAGGGAAAACAAAGGGAAGGAAACCGTTTTAACAGATATTCCTAGCACTCCCAAGGAAAGGTAAGTAACGGGAAGTCATGATTTGACTGGATTAATCATTACCTGTGACAGATCTGCATTCATATTCACATCCGCCCACGCGTCAGAAACATCCGAGTTTATCATCGTTGGCTTCACAGCAATTGTCGGCTTTGAGAATGGAGAAGTATTTACACCTTCGTCTTCCAACGTGGTGCTATCAGGCTTGGTCCTAACTCCATTCGGGAGCACGCCGCAAGCTCCCACGTCTGGGGGTGTTTGCAGCCGATGGGAGCTCTTTGGATTGAAGCAGTTTTTGCAGGAGCCGGGCTTCCAAACGTGTTCCACAAAGTCACTGCACGCAGACATCTTCAAATCCTCGTGGCTCAGACCAAGAGCCCTATGCGTCTTCTGCGCTGTCCTCCACTGCTCATTTTGCGTTTGCTCCCCGAAGCCGCTCTTAAAGATCACCTAGTTACCTGGAAAAGCACAACACTGGCTGGTTAGTTTGGTTATGCCCAAAAATGGGCAGATTTTTTAATAGGACAGGTGGTAATTACACTTACTCTGCCTTCATCACAAAGGCTTATTGTTTACAAGGCTTTCTTTTTTTTTTTTCACAGCTTAGCTAAAGCCAACACAGTCACTTTAAAAGCTTCAACTTCTAAGCATGGCTCTGTAATAGGGAAGACATCAAGCAAGCAGCATTCCTAAGTGATTTAATTCCCTGTTTAACGAGCATGTAGAACCAGCCTCGTGCGAGGTTTAGATCAAGGGTAAAAGGAAAGAGGTCTTGGAAATCTGCTGTTCACAGCCCCACAAGCAGAGCCAGGCAGGAAAAATTCCTCCTCCAAAGTGGCATCCTCTCTCTGAGAAATAAAAGGGCCTGGAGGAGATACAAGGACCAGAATCAGCGACTGTGTAACCAAGGGGACCGGCAACAACCTTCCTTCACCCAGAAACACCACTGTGATTACTGCCGTGCTACACAAAGGCTTCTCCCCCACCCAGTGCGACAGAGAAAGGCAATCAGCGGGGCTGGGGCTGGCACTGATGTGAGCAAGTGCCTGGCAGAAAGCTCTTATCTGCTTTGCCAGGAGCCACAAATAACAGTGTCAGCTCCCTGAAACGACTCATTGTCTGCGAGGGGAGAAACGTTTTGCTCTTGGATTACTTACAGACAAGAAGAATCCCTTCCCATCTTCCTGCCCCAGGAGGAAATGCCCCAGGAACAAGACATTCCTGCATTCCTATGCCCCCCCTCTCCCCTCACAGCCAGGGCTGATTGCACTCAACCTGGAGCTAACAACTTTGGAGGCACTTCAGAGGAGGATTCCCACAAAGCTCCGTGGATTAGGGAAGAGACGATCAGAAAACACGACTAGATCAGGAAAAATCGCAGCCAGCTGCTCTGAGTGTCAGGGCACACAAGTCCCCCATGTTGCTCCACAGAGTCCTGCCCCTCCTAACCAACTTTAGGTCATCATCTCCCACCCAGCTGACCCCAATGCAAACTGAGGCTCCTTCCCCAAGGGCCTCTGAGTGAACAGGCACTTCTACACCCCAGTCTGCACAAGAGCAAAATTTATCAGCCTAATCCTTCAGTGATTCCTCCCTGCAACGCCACCATAGCTCCAGACACCTTTGCACCTGCACCTGCCTCTAAGCCAGCCTGCACTTCAGCAAAGCCTCAGGGCTCCGAGATGCCCTGGCCATCCTCTCCAACAGCCACCCTGTTGCACAATGAAAAGACAGAATACTAATGCCAGCTGGGGTGGGACAAAGCGAAGGTGGGGAAGAGCCACAGACCCACAAGCATCATCTGAATTCAGATGCCACCTTTGGGAAAGGAGGCTTTGATCAGCTAAAGCATGAGTACCTGCCAACTCCTGCCTAGCAGGCTGATAAATTAGGATCTGTTTCATGAAAGAGCAGCAAAAAGGGAAATATTAATGGGATTTACAAATCAGATTGGTGCACATCTCTCTCTTTTTAGGAAAGAGACTATTAGACACGTTTTTCCATAGACTTCACAGAGTCCAAATGAACTGAAGCACAGCAAATCACTCTTGGACACCTTCCCAACACCTTCAGAGAGATTAACATTATTCACAGGGAAAATATATTTTAAAAATATTTTAGTCTTTGTTTCCTTTCAGATCTCGCAAGCAGTGTCCGGCATTATCTCAAGTTGAACAAGTGTCCTGATGAGAGCCAGCAAAGAAAAAAGAAAAATCCAAGGGAGGGAAGCAGGAACCGGAGTCAGAAAAAACTCTCCGCTTCTGCTTTAATAGCCAGCGCTGCCAGCTGCTTTTTACAGACCAGGATTTCCCTTTCTGCAGCTGAAGCAGCCCGTGGTTCTTGCTGCCCAGACCCCGGGGCAGGCGGCACCCACCCCGGTCCCACCCCAC